GGAGAGAAAGAAAGTATTTGCGGAAGCACTTTGTGGAAATACTAAACTGACTATATAAACTTTGTCTGGTTAAAAAAGAAAAGCACTAGTGAATTCACTTGGCAAGAACAATACCTTGAAATATTCGACATAATGAATTTGGATCAGAAAAAAAACAAAGCATCTGTAGAACACTTCGTAAGAATGTCACACTGATATATTTTTTATGAAGAGAATTAATTACCTTAATTACCTTGGATTAGAAAAAGGAAAATAAATAGGCACATTTTGCAAGAACACCACATATTATCTTTCATATTATTAAGGTAATTATTCTTCATTTCTTTATCGAATTTTGAAAATTCATCCAAAATTTCAGTTTTATTTTTTCCATTTAAAATAGTCTATAGCTGAAGATCGTTTTTCTGAAATTTACATGGTATGATGTCATGCCTTCAGTTATATTTGATCTCGTACTTTTTCAAATTACTATTGCTAATCATTATAGTTAAAAAATACGACTTTCCTGAAGAAATTCCCACATGATCATTCCAATTGATGCCTTCTAAATGATTTCCTTGTGAAGCTTTGAGAACTATGTACGGTGAGCTTCTATTAATTTCCTTGAACTTTTTATCTAATTTTTATTAATCGATATTGCGTATTCCAAATCACTAATATAAGCATTATGTAAATTGGGTTGAAGTTACCATTATGTAAATAGCATTATTCAAATGAATTAATTGAAGGTCGAACGCAATATAAGATACCAATTCTTACTGATTTCTTTGAATTTTGGTCAATCTACGAATGTCAGAAAATAACTGGATTAGAAAAAAAAAGCATCAGTATATGCACTTTGCAAGGATTCAACTATATCTTTTGATCCTAAACTGATGTTCTTGGATTAAAAGGTGAAAAACATTAACAAATACACTTTGCAAGGGCATCACGTTGACCTATTAATAACGAACTAAAGGTAACAAGTTCAAATTCCATGATATAGTAATTCTTTGTGTATAACTAACAGATAAAACAAGGCATAACTTGTATATATACGAGTATTATTAGACTTATCGTTATGCATAATGATAACGTTGATGTACAAATATAGAAACAATAGATAGAGAGTCGCAATACTACTTTGCTTACTATTAAACTGTATTCTTTGTTGTACTCTGTTTTTATTATTTTATCAATTATGAACGAAAATACAAATAAAAATGTACTTTTTGATAGTATTTTTATCGAAACCCATTCTAAATTAACTGCTTTAAATAATGAGTTTAATAAGTTATATAAATATTATAATACAGTTGAAGATAGCGATGAATTAGTAAATGAGGAAGCGCTTTTTGTTGAAAACCAGACAAGTAATAGTAATATAATAGAGCAAATTGAGAGTTTTGAGTCCGATTGTTTTACACAACAAGAAATTATATTATTTCAACAAATTTATCAAACCAATTCAATACAACACTTTATTGAACATGAAGAAAAAAAAGATCGAATGTCAGAACAAGATAATCAAGCATTTTCAACAAAAATTCAGCAAATGATTTGCTGTAAAAAAAAATGTTTTAATAATTCTATTAACCACGATGAGGCTCTTAAACGATTTTGTAAAATTAAATCAATGTCAGCAGTAGAAAAAAATATGTTTTTTTTAGGAATTCTTGAGGCTAGTATACGACAACCAACTACTGACCGTGGAGAAATTAAACAATATATAACAAATAATTATAATTTTCAAGGAGTTCCAGTTTGTCAAAAAGCCTGGTTTACTATCTATACAATTGGAAAAACAAAATGGGATGCGATTAAAGCACATTATTTAAAAAATGATATAAGCCCTATTGTTCATGGTCTTAGAGGACATGTTAGTAATCATGCTATTAAGTTTGAAACAATATTATATATATTAACATTTATTCAAAATTTTGCTACACAACATGGTCTTCCTTCTCCTGGTAATATTTAAAACCTGATTTCTAGTAACTGCAGCCCAATTAATGTATTAATAAATTATAATTAAAATAGGTTGCCATTTTCATGAAGATATATACTCTATTATATACTTACCAGCATGTGAAAGTTATTATTCATTATTTCGTCTTTATAATGATACGATTATTGATCAAGAAAGTGATAATGTAGTTAGTCAATCAAGTTTTAGTCGAATTTGGAAGCGCTATTTACCTGAAATCAAATTTTTAACTGCACGTAGTGATCTTTGCATGCAATGTAAAGAAATGAGATTTGGTGCTAAGCAGTGGGCTCAAAGTGAAACATTAAATAAAATAAATGAATGGTCTAATCATTATTCTTGGGCTAATTTAGAACGAGAATATTATCGGTAAATATATTTTATAATAAATTACTAAATAACATGAATTAAAAGACTCGGGATACTTTACTAGTTAGTCTACATATACAGATATTTTAGTTAAAAAAAGTTCTATGATTAGTAGTATATAAGTGTTACCACATAAGAAAATTTATTATTTACAATTATCTTATTTTTAGTGTTCCGGGTATTTTAAAATCTAATATAAATTTAATTATAAGTGCTCTCAAACATGTAACTAGCTAGTAAAGTATCATAATTAAAATAATTCTTATAGCAACTTAAGGTTCATAATGTGATTTGCGAATTTTAAATTTTAGCCAATAAATGCAAAAAGAAAATTTTCAAGACTGTTATTGTAATAACGAGTAATATTGAGTATCAATCTATTACAGTAATTTAGATACTTGAAAGCACCTTATAGCAAAAAATCGCACTTATAATAATATCAGATATAAGAGAAATTAAACAAATTTATTTACATAATCTCTATTAATACATAGCAGAAAATAAAATTAACTTTTATTTATTAAATATTTATAGAAAATGCATAGTTATTTCCAAAGAAGAAATTAAAAAATTTGGTAATATTTTATCACGTCCTGGTATTCCAAATTCACAAGACATAGAAAACCATATCTCGTGGAACTTCGCAGAAAGTGTGCATTTGCCCTTTTCATCACAACAAGAGAAAAGTTTATATAGTTAGAATAACATTTTAAAAAAATTAATATCTTAAATTTTATAGCTTATATCCCGATGAATTTTAAAGTTATCTTAATAAATTAATATTCAAAAGAAAGCCTACATGTAAGCTTTCTTTTGAACATTAATTCATTGAGATCGCTTTAAAATTCATCGGGATATGAGCTCATAGGAAGATTTTCGTATGATTGGCTATTTAATTTTACATTATTTATACAGTTTAAAGTACTTTTTAAAAAAAACAAAACTACTACGAATAAACAAAACTACTACGAATAAACAAAAAAGAAGTATATAGAAAGTTTTATTAGGATTGTAGGACTCCACTATTAAAAAGTATCTCCATCACTTTTTGTTTTAGAGAAGTTAGCATAATAGCGACTTCTTAAA